GGTAGATGCAAACAGATGCAATACTCTGATGTCGGTCCTCTTCTCGTGGATGGAGGTGTCACTGTTACCCGGGTGTCGGCAGTGTTCAGGCATGCTGGGTCCCTCAGGGCTGGCAGTTGGAGGCAGAGCTGTCACCAGGCCTCGGTGTGTCAGATTCCACCACTAAACTCAGTCCGGCACGCAGGTCGGTTTTGTCAGATGACTCACTCAGGATTGTTTTAGCTGCTGTTTTTTTCTTGGGTGTGTGTGTTTTCATATGTCGATGAAAATTGTCCTTTCAAGATCTATGAAAAATTGTGTTACAATTTTGATGGGAATTGCATTGAAATTGTAGATTGTTTTTGGTAGGGTGGCCATTTTACTATGTTAATCCTTCCATCCATGAGCATGGGAGATCTTTCCATCTTTTGATATGTTCCTCTACTTCTTTCTTCAATGTCTTGAAGTGTTTATCATGTAAGTCTTTCACTTGCTTGGCTAGAGTTACCCCATGTTATTTCTTATTTTATGAGGTTGCTGTGAAAAGTGTTGTTTCCCTGATTTATTTCTCAGTTTGCCATTTTTATATAGGAGGGATATTGATTTTTCTGAGTTTTTTTCTAGAAACAATCATTTTACGTATCATCCACCCTATTCCCTCTCCCTCCCATCCTCCCATGCCCTCTACCAGTCACTCCAAGCCACCCCCCCAACCACTCCCCAAGGACAGTGAAGCCTTTCATGGGGGATCATCAAAGTCTGTCTCATCATTTGTAGGAGGGCCTAGGCCCTCCTCTGTGTATCTGGGCTGAAATAGTATCCCCCCATAGGGAATGGGCTCCCAAAGTCCATTTGTGCACTAGGGATAAATACTGTTTCCACAGTTAGAGGTTCCATAGCCTGCCTAGGCCTCCTAACTGGCATCCACATTCAGAGGGTTTAGTTCAGTTCAATGCTGGTTCCCCAGCTTTATGACTGGGGTCTGTGTGCTCTCACTAGGTCAGGTCAGGTTGGTTTCTCCAGCATGGTCTTGGTCTTGACTGCTTTGCTCATCCCTCCTTCTGTAGAAGAATCTACAACTGGATTCCAGGAGTATGCCTCAGTGCTTAGCCTTGGGTGCCTGCTTCTGCTTCTGTCAGCTACTGGATGAAGGCTGTTCAGGGGACCTGGTTCTGTCCTATGTTGGTTCCCCAGCTGTCAGACTTGGGTCCATGAGTTCCCACTTTCTCAGATCAGCTGTTTTGACAGGTTTTCCCAGCATGTCTTGACCCCTTTTTTGGTCACTCCTCCCTCTCTGAAACTGGATTCCAGGAGTTGGGCTCAGTGCTTAGCTGTGGATCTCTGCTTCTGCTTCCAAAAGCTACTGGATGCAGGCACTAGGATGGCATATAAGGTAGTCATCAGTCTCATTATAGGGGAAGGGCATTTAAGGTAGCCTCTCCACTATTGCTTATGTTCCTAGTTGAGGTCATCCTTGTAGATCTCTGTACAATTCCCTAGTGCCTGATTTCTCTTTAAACCTATAGTGTCTACCTCTATTGATGCATCTCTTTTCTTGCTCTCCTCTATTCCTTTCCCCACTCAATCTTCCTGATCCCTCATGTTCTCCTCCCCTCTTCTTCTCCACTCCCTTTCTCCTCCCTCCCCCACCTCCCCTACTCCCAATGTGTTCAGAGGCTCTTGTCTTTTCTGCTATACTGGGGCCCGTGTATGTCTCTCTTAGGGACCTCCTTGCTTTCTAGCTTCTCTGGAAGTATGGATTATAGGCTGATAATCCTTTGCTCTATGTCTAATATTCATATATGAGTGACTACATACCATGTTTGGCTTTCTATGACTGTGTTGCCTCATTTAGGATGGTTTCTTCTAATTCCATCTATTTGCCTTCAAATTTCAATATTCCATTGTTTTTTTCTGCTGAGTACTACTCCATTGTGTAAATGTACCACATTTTCTGTATCCATTTGTTAGTTGAGGGTCATCTAGGTTGCTTCCAGTTTCTGCTATTGCAAATAATCTGCTATGAACATAGCTGAACAAAAGTCCTTGGTGTATGAATGTGCATCCTTTAGGTATATGCCTAAGAGTGGAACTGCTGGATCTTGAGGTAGACTGGTTCCCATTTTCCAGAAAAATCACCATACTGATTTCCAAAGTGGATGTACAAGTTTGCACTTCTACCAGCAATGGAGAAGTATTCTCCCTTCTTAACATTGTCTCCAGGATAAACCGTCACACGTGTTTTTGATTTTATCCATTTTAACAGGAATAGGAAGGTATCTCAGAGTTGTTTTGATTTGCATTTCTCTGATGCCTAAGGATGTTGAGCACTTTCTTAAGTGTATTTCAGCCATTTTAGATTCCTCTATTAAGAATCCTCTGTTTAGTTCTGTACCCTATTTTTAATTGAATTATTTGGTGTTTTGGTGACTAGCTTCTTGAGTTCTTTGCATATTTTGGAAATCAGCCCTCTGTCAGTCAGATGTGGGGTTGGTGAATGTCTTTTCCCATTCTGTGGGCTGCCTTTTTGTCTTGTTGTCTGTGTCCTTTGCCTTACAGAAACTTCTCAGTTTCAGGAGGTCCCATTTATTAATTGTCAATCTCAGTGTCTGTGCTATCGGCTTTATGTTCAGGAAGTGGTCTCCTGTGACAATTTTTTTAGGGTCCCTCACACTTTCTCTTCTAAGAGGTTCAGTATGGCTGGATTTATGTTGAGGTCTTTGATCCATTTGGACTTAAGTTTTGTGCATAGTGATAGATATGGATCTATCTGCAATCTTCTACATGCTAGCACCCAGTTATGCCAGCACCATTTGTTGAAGATGCTTGCCTTTTCCCACTGTATAATTTTAACTTCTTTGTCAAAAATCAGGTGTTCATAGGTGTGTGGGTTAATATCAGAGTCTTCAATTGGATTCCATTGGTCTACAATCTGTTTTTGTGCCAATACCAAGCTGTTTTTTATTACTATATCTCCATATTACAGCTTGAAGTCAGAGATGCTGATGCCTCCTGAAGTTCCTGTATTGTACAGGCTTGTTTTGACTATCCTGTGTCTTTTTTTTTTCATATAAAGTTAAATATCGTCCTTTCAAGGTCTATGAAGAATTGTGTTGGGGTTTTGATGGGAATTGCATTGAATCTGTAGATTGCTTTTGGTAAGATTGTCATTTTTTACTATGTTGATCCTACCTATCCAAAAGCATGGGAGATCTTTCCATTTTCTGGTATCTTCTTAATTTCTTTAATGACTCAATGTTCTTTAAATACAGGTCTTTCACTTGTTTGGTTAGAGTTACCCAAAGATATTTTATGTTGTTTGTGGCTATTGTAAAGGGTGATGTTTCTCTGATTTGTTTCTCAGGCCCTTCATTGTCTACTGATTTTTTTTTTTTAGTTAATCTTGTATCCTTCCACTTTGCTGAAGGTGTTTATTAGCCGTAGGATTTCCCTGGTGGAATTCTTTGGGTCACTTATGTAAATTATCATATCATCTGCAAATAGTGAAAGCTTGACTTCTTCCTTTCCAATTTGTATCCCCTTGATCTCCTTTTGTTGTCTTACTGCTCTAGCAAAAACTTCAAGTACAAAATTGAAGAGATATGGAGAGAGAGTGGACAACCTTGTCTTGTTCCTGATTTTAGAGGAATCACATTGAGTTTCTCTCCATTTAGTTTGGTGTTGGCTGTTGGTTTTCTGTATATTGCCTTTATTCTTTTAAGTATTTTCCTATTATCCTTGGTCACCCCAAGACTTTTATCATGAAGGGGGTTTGAATTTTGTCGAAGTCTTTTTCAGTATCTAGTGAGGTGATCATGTGATTTTTCTTTCTGTTTGTTTATATGGTGGATTACATTGATGGGTTTTTGTATGTTGAACCATCTCTGCATCTCTGGGATGAAGCCTACTTGATCATAGTTTGTGATTTTTCTGATGTATTCCTGGTTTTTATTTTCAAGTATTTTATTGAGTATTTTTCATCAATGTTCATGAGGGAGATTGGTCTGCAGTTCTCTATCTTCATTGTGTCTTTGTGTGGTTTGGGTAACAATGTAATTGTAGCCTCATAAAAAGAGTTTGGTAATGACCCTTCTTCTATTGTGTGGAATAAGTTGAGGAGCATTGGTATTAGCTCTTCTTTGAATTTCTGGTAGAATTCTTCACTGATGCCATCTGCCCCTGGACTTTTTTGGTTGGGAGAATTTTGATGACTGCTTCTATTTCAAGGGGTTATAAGTCCATTTAAATTGCTTATCTTTCTTGATTTAATTTTGGTAAGTGATGTCTATCTACTTCATTGATTTCAGCTCTCAATTTGATTATTTCCTGGCATCTATTTGGTTGAGTTTGCTTCTTTTTGTTCTAGAGCTTTCACTTGTGCTGTTAATTCTCTAGTGTGACTATTCTCCAGTTACTTCATGTGTGCACTTAGTGCTATGAAATTTACTCTTAGCACAGCTTTCTGTGTGTCCCATAGGTTTGGGTGTATTGTGTCTTCATTTTCATTGAATTCCAAGAAGTCTCTGATTGTTTTCTTTACTTTCTTTATGCAGAAGTGATGCAGTTGTGCATTGTTCAATTTCTTTGAGTTTGTGGGGTTTCTGCAATTTGTATTGTTGCTGAATTCTAATTTTAAGCCATGGTGGTCCGATAAGGTACAGGGGGTTATTCCAACTTTTTTGTAGCTGTTGAAGTTTGCTTTATTGCCAAGTATGTGGTCAGTTTTAGAGAAGTTTCCCTGCTGTGCTGAGAAGAATGTATATTGGATGGAATGTTCTATAGATGTCTGTTAAACTCAATTGGGTCATAACTTCTGTTTGTTTCTTTGTTTCTTTGTTAAGTTTCTGTCTGGTGTTCCTGTCCAGTGGTGAGAGTGGGATGTTGAAGTCTCCCCCATAAGTGTTTGGGGTTTAATGTGTGATTTGAGTTTTAGTAATGTTTCTTTAATGAATGTGGGTGCCCTTGTATTTGGTGCATAGATGTTGAAAATTGAGACTTCATCTTTTATGTTGTTGGATGTGTTCTTATATTGTCGTCTTCCCATGTCTTCTTCCAGTGAGTATAGGCAGGGTCTCTCCCTCTCCCTCCTTTCTCTCCAACAGAGGGTGGTTGTTGGCCATGGGTCAGGGGACTCAAAGAGGGAAAGTTGGCCTGGGAGTGCCCCCTAGTACTCACCTCTCAACCAGAAGGTGGAAGGGCAAGACAGGAATGGTGGCTGATGATGCTGGCTGCTTTGTTCTGTCTCCAGGTCCCTCTGGGGGACTCAGTGGCAGGAAGGTTCTGGCAGCTTCAGGTCAGAGAACTCAAAGAGGGAAAGGTTGTGAGTTTTTTCTTTTCAATCCAGCAACTTTGCTGAAAGTGTTATCAGCTGTAGGAGTTTCCTGGTGGAATTTTTAGGGTCACTTATGTATAACATCTTCAAATATAGATAATTTTACGACTTCTCTTCTAAAAAGGAACAAGATGGGACACAGGATATATTATTAACTGGTAATTTATTAAGAAGAGATACTCACACAAGGAGCCAATAACCAGATTTGGCAATCCGAGAAGCCCAGATCCAGATGCCTCAGAGACCTGGCGTGGACCCTGAGAGAGGAGGAGCCCCTGCTCTCCTCGTTCTTTATCCTACCCCCTACATATCTGTAACCACACCCAAATGGGCATGGTCAGTGGTACAGGTATCCAGGGCCTTTCCTTACACTCTTCCAACTTTTATCTTCTTGATCTCCTTTAGTTGTCTTATTGTTCTAAGTAGAACTTCAAGTACTATATTGAATAGGTATGTAGGGAGTGGACAGCCTTGTCTTGCTCCTAATTTTAGTGGAGTTGCTTTGAGTTTCTCTCCAATTTAAGTTGATATTGGCTGTAGGCTTGTGGTAAACTGAATGCCAATTAACGTTCACACTAGAGATGGAAACAACATATAAATGATGTTACTTTCATAATGTTTTAAAGTGGTCAATGATATTTTCAGACTCATACTTTGGAGTTGAAGGGGATTTGTTATAGGACATGAGAAGGCATTCTTTAGTCCTAAAGATACCATTTCAACGATTTTCTCTCTATCTCCCTGTCTCTGTGTGTTTGTATCTTTTGATGATGAGTTCACAATCCAGTAATAACAGAGAAAGCAACTCTCTTCCAGTATGGACATCATATTTTGTTATTAGCCATATATATTACACAAATAAAGGTTTTTGGCTTTAGCATTTTTTATAGCATTACAACCATCATACTACTCACATTTGGGCTCCATAACATAAAAGCCAACCTGAGGGACTCCACCTTCTCTGCTTACTTTTATTCATATTACTAGGGTAGATGTTTCCCAAACCACAAACTTGGAACTACTGGTAACCATGATTTTGATATCTTTTCATTTATCAGATCTATTTATGATCATTTCTCTTTTCTCAATGTCCCCTTTAAGACGGAGGCTACAGTTTCTTGACCAGTGCAGCTTTCAAGGAGGTTGTCTTTCACCACCATTATATAATGATTTCCTCCCAATGGAAACATCCCCTCAACCCTGACAGGAGGAGTCTCATGAAATTCAGGAGGAAACCAGCTTCACAAGTCTTGGAAAGTTGAAATGTGATCCACCTCCAAGTTGTAGACATTGTAAACATTTGCCAGAGGAGGAGACTCTGGTCAGCTGAGGTGCTGAGAAGAGACTCTTGGCCCTGTTGAGCTGCCTATAAGTCACACAGAGAGCTCTAGAATTGATAGTTTTTGAGTCATCAACCTGTTAGGATGGGCGTTTAGTGATACAGCTACATCATCCTTGAGTAATCCTTGCTCTTTTAAGTAACCCTTCACCCACACTTCTGTGAGCAATCTCAATACAAACTCATTGGTTTACTAATGATTTTGATAGGATAGTTACTTTGATCTGTTGTAGGTTCTCTATCCCAGGTGAGTAGGTGTGTGTGTGTGTGTGTGTGTGTGTGTGTGTGTGTGTGGTGTGTCTTCCTGGTAAAAGTCCCACACAATAACCCTCACCCCTAGACTTCAAGACCAAAATGCCATCTTGGGTCCATGGCTTGCCTTGAGTGCTTTTCTGTCCTATTCACTCTGTTATCATGACTGTTGGCTGACTCAAGAGTTTAGCATTATTCATCAGTTCTGGGAAACTTCTGAACAAAAGATTTGGACATCTGCCAAGTTCACATAGAAGCATGATGGCATATCAGGGCCAGTGAGTCAGTCCCCAAGAAGACATTTCTTCACTGGCTCAGTCCTCATTTCCAGTAGTACAAGGTTAGCTTGGGACATGCTACCCTTTTTCATTGCCTGTGTTGCAAGGAGTTGGGTAACAAATTCCCAATGCCTTTGGGATGTCTCAACCTAAATTGTCAATTGGTGCTAAATGATTGGACTCACATCTTGGTGAATATAAAACCCAAAATGAACACAGCCAAGAAGTAAAAGAGCTGAGAAAGGTCATATATTATCTATTGCAGGGAAGAAGAGCAAAACAATTATTTCCAATGCAATGACCACTTTGAACAAGGGAAGCCTGAGGATTTTGTTTTAGAAGCCTGTACATATTAAATAGAAAGATACTTTAGGAGTAGGCACATTACTGAGTATGCTCAGTTAATAATTGCTTGAATATGTTTAGTTTAAAGTCATAGTACAAAAGGTAAAGATCATGGACAAAGTTTTGACAAGTTTAGCTGAATATTATGGAACACATGTTTGAAAAATTAAAATAGTATGTAGTAACACTTTTGGTCTTCCATTTTGGGCTTATCTAATGTCATAAAACTGATGGACAAGGAGGACCTCTGGGCATGTTCGTGTTCTCCTGGTGTTTTAGCTGAGAACAATAGAGGAGATTTGTCTCTAGAGGTACCTGCCCTCCTCAGTGGTTACCAGCTTCTTGTGGGTGTCATCATCATTAGGAGACACACAATTATGCTGCTCCTGAATGTTAATCTCTTCTTCAGTTCCCAAACCCTGCAACTAATGTGTCTTAGAACTTTTTGTTGTTGGGGAAAGGGATAGAGATGGAGACAGAGTCTTTCTATACAGCTAGAGATCAGGTCTAGAGATCAGGCCCTGCCTTGTAGACCAGGACTATGTGTAACAGGATTTCCTTGAATTTGCAGTAATTCTCCTTTCTCTCTCATTTGCCAGGATTCCAGGTGTGTACTGACATGTCCAGTGGTCTACCTCTTTTAAAAGAGCCATCTGTGGGATTAGAAGCATTAGGGAAGATATTGTTGGTATATGAGCAGGTAAAAAAAATCTGTGTACATGTGCTTTCAAACTGAAATGGCAGAGTAGCATAGCTGAAGCACTTTCATCACTGCACTATGGCTTGACATGAGGTTATCACTCAAGATGTGGCTAGTTAGATGGTATATGGTGATATCCCTCCTGCCTCCCATACTTCCACTTCCCTCTTTTCTATTGTGGAATAATCTTTTTGTGCACTGTAAAGATCTGTCTTTGCCAAGGCACCTTCTGATAGGTTTAATAAAGAGCAGAATGGCCAATAGCTAGGCAGAAAGAGGTTAGGTGGGACTTCCAGGCATAGAAATAGGGAGAGGAGATGAATCAAGGTATGGGAGAGATGCCAGAGGACACAGTGAGGAAACCAGAGGTGTAAGATGGAAGAGAAGTAAAAAGCCCCTGGGCAAAACAGTTTACTATAACTATAAATGGGTTAATTTAAGTTATAAGAGGTAGTGGGACAAGCCTACCCTATAGGCTGAGCTTTCACAATTAATAATGTCTCCATGTCATTTTTTTTTTGCGAACTGGTGGCCCAAAGAAAAACCTGTCTACACTTTTCCTATCCCCTCTATCTAGTTTCTCTCAGCCCTCATTTTTTTTTTGGTTTCTTATCAATTAGTTAGTAAAATCCATTAAGGTTCCAAGGAAAGACAAAAAAGGAGAAATGTACACTTAATATCACATTTTCAGGTACAAGGGACTGTTTCATGATTGTTAGTGATAGTGACATTGTATAAAACCCCAGAGTATCCATCAACATAACCAGACTAAATAAGTATGCAAAAATTCCACATTTGTAGGGAAGCAATGATTAGGAAAATTTAAAACAGATTTCCCCTTATGGGCAAATTTCTTCACAGAAATAAATAAAAGTGAGCCTGCAACCAAAAAATTTGGGAGTAACTCTTCTCTAGCCAACCAAAGAAAGCTATTTAGCTTTCTAACTTACTTGGATTGACTGCAGCAACTATGGAACCATTCTGAGAAAAAGAGCTGAGTGAGACTTTTGCTCCTGGGGAGAACAGTTGCTTGAAATAGAGGACACAGGGTACAACATTAATAGTAATTAAGAGACAAGGCAAGTGACAGTCATCTCCCAACCATCTCACAAACTCTACTGAAATTGCAGTTTGTGTTTATTTTGGGACTCAGAGTTAGTTTGAAAGTGACTGGAGAACTGACCTATATAAATAGCCTGAATGGAGGAGCTAGAGGTGAGAATATTTTCAAAGAAACTTAAAAACCCCACTAATTAATACAAACATATGTGGAATATGCTATGCCAACCTCAGTGGCAGTAGAAACATGAATGGAATAGTAAAAACCTGTGGTGACTGAATTTGTAAATCTGGGGACAATTTAAGATATTTAGAGTCTGATTTTTTATGATGTTATTAACAGATGGTCTATCACATGCCATTGACCCAATAGGCTCAGTACTGAAATGCTACCTAAAACTACAAGTCCCAGTAGTATTCCCATGAAAATCTCAGGCTGTGGTAAAGACATCCCAACAATAGTCATTTGAATGCTTGGAGACCTTACTCATTTCCAATGTTGTCAATGGATAAATAAAACAAAAAGTGGACTCTGCATGCAGTTTTCCATGCAGGTTTGTAGTGTGTTATGTAGAGCTCATATGCTATTCTTTATCTTTGTGTAGTTATCTCTATGTTGGATCTCACTACAGAGATTCCTTATTTCCTTATTTCAAAACTCCTTTTAATTGAAAAATTGAGGAGCTTTTACCTAAACTTGAATTTGAAGCCATTCATCTATAATATGATGATATGCTAAAAGATATATATTGTGTGAGGAATTTAACAGAGCTCTATAATAATGTCTTTCACAAATCAATATGCTCAATTAGAATATACTCACAAATTTACTTCAGTATTTAGTGTTATTTGTGGGAGGAGTCATTGTCAACTATGAACTTGGTACTCACCTTTGAATCAAAATTCTCAGTGAAGTCTCATTGATGGTAGGGTTAACAGATAAATGTCAACAGTTGATGTTAGTGATAATAGAATCTGAACCTGCTTGTGTGACATCTTATCAGTTCCCCGAAGAAATCCATCTGCTCATTACTATGCCTCTCTATGTTAAAAGCAATACTCAGTTATTATATTTTATGGTTTGTCAGTAAAAAGAATGTTTGCTTTTTGGTCTAAAACATTGATGATCTAACAATGTTTTATAATCCCAGATTAATACATGTCTTGACTGCCTATATGTTATAAGACAGTCCAAACTTCTCAGCCAAAGATGCCCCAGGTACAGAGTCAATAATCTGCAAAAATCCTTGTGTGAGGTATAAATGGACCAAAGAAAGTTCTTAGGGGTTAGCCTGCTGGTCAAACTGCCCTGTGTAAAATCTGGAACATGAATAAAATAGTCTTATTACCTACATATCAGATCAGTCTCTGCGACTGCCATGACAAAACACCATAACTGAAAGCTGTAGACAACAGAAATTTATCTTTCCACAGTTTCAGAAACTGAAGTAACTGAAGGTCTGAAACCAAGCTGTTGACAGGGCAATGGTGCCTTTGAAGCTTTTAGAAAAGTCTCTTTCTTACCCTTTCTGGCCTCTGATTGTCAGCAGCACCTTCACCTTCCTTGCCTTGCAGCTGTTCTTCCCTTATTGTCACAGGGCCTTCTTCCCGTGTGTCACTGGGTCAACATCTCTGTCTGGTAAAGACGCCAATCATATTGGAGCGAGGGACCATCTTCATTCAACATGACTTCATCTCAATTTATCCAAAATACCTGCAAAAATCCTCTTTCCAAAGCTAGGCCTATGTTGAGGATGTAGGTAAACAGAGAGTGTTTAGCTCATCCTAAATCAGCAGTGAAAGGAGGAAATGCATAGAATGTTGCTCGACTGGAAAACTTGAGGACACACAGTTAGTAGGATTTGATGATCACCAGGCCAAACCCAGTGCAATCACAGGGGCCTTATCCAAGGGAGACAGAAGACTTAAAGGTAGAGAATGAGATGGAACCATAGACACATAAATTGGACTCATATGTTTGAAGATGGAAGAAGCAACAACCAACAGAGAATTCTGGTAGCCTAGAAACTGAAACAGGCAAGGAAATAGATTGTCTCTTAGAGCATCCAAAAGGGCATAGGCGTGCTGACACTTTGATTTTTGATCCAATATAAGTCATTTTAGATTTATGATACCCCAAACCACATTGTTTCAAATCACTAAGGTGATAACAATTTGTCATGGCAATTATAGGAAGCTAATACCCTTTGATACTCGTGGATATTGTTTTTAGACACTGAGGGTATCAGGATACTTGGATGCTAAAGTCTCTTATCTCCTCTGGCAGTGTTTATACATAACTTGTAATCCTCCTGTGTACTTTAACCTATCTTTAGATTACACTGCTAAGTAAATAGTTTTGTACTGCACCATTTAGGGAAAAATGATATAAAAAGAGTGTCTGTATTCTATACAGATAAAGTAATTATTATGAATGTTTTTGATCCTTGATTGAATCTGTGGGTGTGAAACCCATACAGGAAGGAAAGTTGATTAGCCTAGTTGTACAGTTGGTGGGTGAGACTGGAGAGAAATAGGAAGTTGGTGAGTGGGACTGGAGAGAACCAGGAAGTGACTCAAGTAGGAAATATGGTGCAAGAGGAGTGTGTGCTTCTGTTTCAAATTAAATATTAGGCAGAGAAATTTCATGTTTCTGCCCCATTAGTGGAATATTTTGCATAGTAGATGATTTTAAAGCCATGTAAATTCTCACTGGGACATTGGATTTCAAATAAATATGATTTAGATTTGTAGAAAAAGAGCTATATTTTCTTAATCATAGAAGTGCCTTTATGAGCAATCATTTGAATTAAAAGCATGCTCAAGTAATCTTTGCTCATTTTGAATCCTTTGTCCTCTCCTCCACCAAGGATATTTCCTTTACTTTCCAACAAGAACACAGTGTAAGTCAACCCTGGTGGTACAGACCTGTAACCCCAGCTACTCAGCAGTCCAAAGCCTGCCTGGACTACAGAGTGAATCTAAGGCCAACCTGGACAACTTAGTAAGACCCTATCTCCAAATGGCTGTGGATATAGCTGAGTTCTGAGCTACTTGCCTAGTACATACAGGTCCTTGTGTTCAATCACCAGTACTGAGAAAATGAGAGCAAAGTAAAACAGCATTAATTTCTGAGAATTTTGCATTGGGAGCAGTTAAAGGGCCCGCTTTGGTTTGAGGAGCTAAAAAGAAAAATGTTTGCTAGGTGATTCTCCCTAAAAACAAAATATTAGCCTAGGATGATAGGGAAAAAAATGCCAAAGTAAGACAAAGAAGCTGGGTGAAATTCCTTGCTATCAGCTTGATTCAGATTGTCTAGGATAAAAATAAATTGTTAGCTAGTACATTCTATCATGATTCCAGACTTCTTAGGAAACACTAATGTTAGAGCCATTTCTAAGTAAGACTACACCTTGCCAAAGAGGGCAGAAAAGATCAGACCATCAGAAAGCACTTCAAAACAACCCTTCTATTCTTTCATTTAAAAGTTATCAAGATCTATAGGTATTCCTAACATGATTTTAGAAAACTACTTTAAAAGGCAAAGGAGATTCTGGAATTATGTTCTCAGAGGCACTAATGGAGGCAGTTGTGTTAATATCAGCCCTAGCTGATGAATGAGAGAGAGAAATATAGAAGGATAGAGAGGCTAAATTGACTTCTACTCTTCCTACTACAGCTGGGTGGCTTAGAACACCTGCCGTTTATTGAGCATTACATTGCAAGGAATAGAATTGGTCATGGCAGAGCTGACATTTTGAGGCTTAGTTTAACAGTATATATAGCAATCTACACTTCTGCATGCCACTCCAGGATTTGCATATGCACCTGGGGGTTTGGAGTATGGGGGTGTAAATGCTCAGGGTAGAATATGATGTTAAAGTAATAGCCTGGTGTGAGTTGTTTTTCTCTCCACAGTGATCAAATACCCAACAAGAAGC